CGCGAAGAGGAACTGACTGCGCGAACGACGTTAACGAAGAGTGAACCTTCTCTCCGTCGCACAGTCGAACGTCCGACGCTCCAGAGACAATCGGTTGAGGTACCAGCAGACGCCATCGCAGCGCCTTCCGGCTGAATGCCTTGCGGGGGGACGATGCTCGGCTTCTGATTGGTGGCGGATGGTTGTGTGCGGGGGCGGAGTTTGGTGGATCCAATGGCGGACTCGGATTCTACTGACGAGTATTGGATTGGTTGACAGTCAGAGTGCCATTTAAGCAAAGCCAATTGAGGCTAAGATGTCTATGTCTATGTGTGTGTGTGTGTTGCGAATAGCATGGCCTTAAGCCACAAGGTCAGGTGACAATCAGAGGTCCGACAAAAGTGCATAAGCAGGAGTGGATTGGTTCGGTGTCTCGTGATGGCGCTTCACCGAGGCCACGAGATGAGGGACTGAGTCACTCCACTCCACGCACTTGAGCACGAAAGGAGCATGCGTGGAAAATGGTGAGTATGCATTGAAATTATGTGAGATGCATTCAGCATAGTTGGTTGGAGCTGATGGAGATAGAGGGGGTGGTCGACGCTTGAGACAGTCTGTCGAGTAGAGCTGACGCATCCGTTGAATGTCGGTGGGTCAGAGGGCAGATGAGTCCGTCAAAGAGGAGCAAGCAAGTGGTTTGTGCTATCACAATCGAGTGCACTACTTATTTCTACTTTTGTAAGTAGTGCTTCGAGATTGGCTCGGTTGAGGTGAAGAAGGACTGGTAGTTCAATTTTCACACAATCACATGATTAGAGCCGACGTCGTCCCTAAGGCTGGGCTGGACCGCGGTCTCGACCTCTACTCAACTGGCCGTATCCACACGCCCGGCGGGACTCGAACCATGACGCTGTATCTTGCAATCTCCGCCATAGTGCAACGATTCCTGCCGGTTGACAGGGCCGATGTGAATGTCGAGCAAGGTAGGGCATTGTCCACTCCAGCCGGGATGAGAACACTTTTTGGGTGTGAAATGGAATGGACATGTCAGCTCTACTCATCCCATTGTGGCACAATTCTGCTACCAGTTCTACGTGACCTTTAACGAAATGGGGT